CCACGCACCTGCAGGTGCATTACAGTCGGCACCGAGGGGCCCGGGCTTTTGTCACGTGCAAACTGGTATGGCTCTGAGGGTTTATAATGCAGGGGGATGTCCCCCCAGTGACCCCCGGGACGAATAAGAAGCGTCTTGCTACTGCTGAGAGGTGGCAAGCTCGTCCCCGTGCCGCTTTCCAGTCGGAGCAGAGATGCGGATGGAGCGTTCCTGCCCTGCCTGCCCCCGGCGAGCCCAGAGCCCCCCTTCCTTGAGCTGCTGGCAGGGTTGGGGTGGCCCCTCGTGCCCTCCTCGTTCCCCTGCTGATTAAAAGGTTCAGCAAAGCATTTCCCTGCTGCCTGCCCACAAATACACTCCCTGCTGGGCTTTGTTTTGTTCTCGGGTGCCCAAGCAGCTGCTGGGGCAGGGGGGAGCCCGGAGCCAGCTCCCACCGCCCCCAGGGCTCGCAGGCTGCCCCCAGCCGCGGCACATTCCTGCCTGCCACTGGGTTTCCATCAATGCTGTGGTGTCCCCCGTGCCCCAGGCTGTGACAGAGGAGAGAGCCAGACCGGGCCGATGTGATTGCCCCACCACGAGGTCTCGCATTGCCCTGGACCAGTGTTGTTGGTCCTTGATACCCGTCACCGTCTGTCCCTGAGCACCCCTGCGTGCACCGGGCGCTCGTCCCAAGGACCTGGTGCTCTTGGTGGCACCTCTGGCGTGGCGCGCGCCCAGAGGGGGTGTGGGCTGGGCCCCTTCGTTGGTGCGATGGGCACAGAAAGGGGACTGGCTCTGGGCACCATCCTGGTTCGCCCTTGCCTTGGGTCCAGGAGGCTTTCCCAGGGGCTGGAGAAGTGACCTGGCCTCCGTCAGCTGGAAATGCGAACAGTGCAGGAATGGCGCCCATCTCCGCTAGTGGAGCCTCTGCAGAAACCCTGCTGCCAGGGCTGGCGGGGCGGTGGGTCGGCTGTGCCAGCCCCCAGCCCCACGCTGCCAGCCGGGCTGGCGACAAGGCCCCAGAGGGCTGTGCTCCCCGAGGGGGGGCTCCCTGGCCCCTTTGCTCTGTGAGGACACCCTTCCCAAAGCTGCTGCAGGGACCCCGCTGTCACCCCCTGGGAGCAAAGGGGCAACGTGCGGACAGGCCTTAGCCCAGGGAAAGGGGCTCCTGTGGGGCAGCCCCTAAAGAGCAGCCCTGGTCCCCGGCGACGCCCCGATACACCCTGTGTGTATTCCCACCAAATCCCACCGAAGAGCCACGAGAGAGCGGCCGTGAAGGCTCGCAGGGACACATGCTGGCTCAGGCGGCACGCTGCTGCCAAGGGGGGGCTTTGCGAGAGGGGTCCCAGAGGCACAGCCCCATGCTGGGAGCCTCTGTGGGGTTTGCGTTTGTTTTCCTTCCTCGGTAGCCCCAGAGCTACTCACTGGGGTTTAAAATCACCCCTGCCTGTGGGAAAGCCAGACCTTGTTCTTTTTAACGTTGCCTGATGACGAGCAGGGTCCGTGTGTGTGGCGTGCGGGATCCGCTCTCAGGGTGGGGGGCGCCGGGCGCAGAGGCGCATTTCTGGTGGGCCCGTCGGGGGGGTCCCAGGTTCGGGGTGTGCTTCCCCGCCT